GAATCGGCTAAATCTTCAGCCTTGCCCCCCACTACTGGACTCCCAAAAGTGCTGCTACAGGGTTTGTGAACATGATGACTGGGTTCGTAATCCCAGAGACATGGATCAGTTATGTGGAGGTAGGAGGAAATGGCAGACAGGGAATTTAAATTCAGTTCTTTAATTAAATAAAATCTGAACTGAAAACTTATTATCTTCAGCATCTGATGCAATGAAAGGGTGTGATCTAAACTCCCACATATTTTGCAGCACTGCCTGCTTACAGGCAACTTATATGGTGCCCTTTGTGTAATAGATTGAAATGGCAAATAGACGAGGACTAATTTCTTCTCTCGGAGGGTAGTGAATTTGAGGAATTCTCTACCACAGAGGCATGTTGAGATTGAGTAAAATATATTCCTTGTTGAGAGAGAAGGATTTTTAATCATTAAAGGAATCAAGGGTTAAATGGAAAAGGCAGGAAAGTAGAACTGAGGATTATCAGATCAGCGAAGATCTTATTGAGTGGTGGAGCAGACTTGATGGGCTGAATGGTCTACTTCTGCTCTTACGTCTTATCCACTTTCTTAATTCATCCAGAAATGTAATGGTCTTAAGAATTGAAAGCCGCTATACCCCCACTCTCTCATTACAGATCAATGACTGTACAGGCGGCACTGCTGCCTCACAGCACCAGGGACCGGTGTTCGATTCCACCCTCAGGCAACTGTCTGTGTGGAGTTTGCACATTCTCCCCGTGTCTGCGTGGGTTTCCTCCGGGTGCTCTGGTTTCCTACCACAGTCCAAAGATGTGCAGGTTGGGTGGATTGGCCATGCGAAATTGCCTCATCGTGTCCAGGTTAGGTGGATTAGCCATAGGGTTTAAGTAGGATGCTCTTCAGAAGATCAGTGCAGACTCAATGAGCTGAAAAGTCCCTTTCCGTACTGTAGGGATTCTGAGTCTATGCCTGGTGGGGGTTTAACCTGACAGCCACCATAGAATCATACAGCATCAAAACAGACCCTTCCATCCAATCCATGATCCCAAACTAAACTAGTCCCACCTGCCTGCATTTGGCCCATAATCCCTCCAAACATTTCTTATTCATGTACTTATCTAAATGTATAATACTTATCAGTATTAGGTGAGGGGCAAGGTCAAGAAGGTAGAATCTTCATGGCAATCTCAGCTGGTGCAGGAATCGAATCCACACTGTTGGTGTCATTGTTTTGTAAGCTAGCTGTCCAGCCAACTGAGCTAACCAACACCCCTATCTTACAAATACAGGTGCGCTGGCTATACAAGTTACAGCACAGAAGTCAACTTGCCATGCAAGATGAATCCATTTTTCCATGCCCCCTAAAAAACATCACGTTTATCTCTAATAATTGGCATACAAGACATCACCTTCCTCAGCCATGGCATATTCAACACATTATTAGTCAGCCCCAACTTTTACCTCTACAATTGTATGTTTGACCTCTAGGTATTGTACCCTTTGACTGGGCAGCAGGTGACAATTGGATGTACGGAAGACATTCCAAATTATCAACCAGCCGCACTCATGGTTCACTTGCATGCCTGGGGTACAAGTCAAACCTTGGTTTTTGCAAGGACTTGCAAGCAGTTTGCAAGCCAACATCTACAGGATAGAGTTCTATCTTGTTTCTCTCTCTCTCATCCTTTAATGAATGACCTGTTTTAACTTGCTTGAGTGCTGTCAGATGATTCATTAATTAGATTCCTTATGTTGCATTTGCAGGTTAAAACAAAGCAGAGGACCGGGTAAACACAGCTTGCCTCAATGTTCCTATCACAAAATCCTCAATTTCTTGGCCATGATCTTTAAGGTACAATGAAGAGATTTCAATGGGTTTTCATAAGCTGCGCTCAACTAACCGCAACAGAGTGTGGTTGTCAAGGAAGAAAATCAATTAGATTTCCGCCCAACAGAGTGTGTTTTTGGTTAAGTATTTCTCACAATCATTTTTCAGTTTAATAAATACAGAAACCTACAGAGGCAGAAAACATTGATGGCGGTCACCAGGGCAACCTGGCCTCAAGGAAAAGTTATCCACAGGTGAAATTAACACAAGCAACTGACGTGAGATACCCAGTCTAGCCACACAAGTGCTAAGTGTATCTTCACAGCTGCTCATTCTGCAACATTATCATAACTTCCCAGCTAAGGTCATTAAATACATAAAGCAAAATCATTCTAGCGTTCTAACTATTTGCTCACGGGATGAGAGCGTTGCTGGGTCAGCCAGCATTTATTACCCATCCCTAACTCCAGGGCAGTTAGGGATGGGTAGTGAGCAACCTTCCTGAAATATCGTAGTCCAGCTGGCGTAAATGCACCCAAATGGTCATCTTTCTGCAGCGCTTTGACACTATGGAGTGGCTTGCTGATGCACACACTGTCTGTCTCTCTCTGCCTGAAATGTGTGTTCTGATGGGTCACTGAACTTGAAATGTCAGCTCCTACTCCCTTATTCCACAGATTCTGCTAGGCATGCTGAGTTTCCCCAGCAACTTGTTTTATTTTTATTTCCATTTCCGATTTCCAGCATCCACATTTCTGTGCCTTATCATAGAAGAGTCATAGTCATGAAGCACGGAAACAGACCCTTCGGTCAAACTCATCCATGCCGACCAGATATCCTAAATTAATCTGGTCCCATTTGCCAGCATTTGGCCCATATCCCTCTAAACCCTTCCTATTCATGTACCCATCCAAATGCCCTTTAAATGTTGTAATTGTACCAGCCTCCACCACTTCCTCTGGCAGCTCATTCCACACACGAACCACCCTCTGTGAAAAAGTTGCCCCTTAGGTCCTTTTCAAATCTTTCCCCACTCACCTGAAACCTATGCTCTCTAGGTTTGGGCTCCCCTACCCAGGGATAAAGACATTGGCTATTCACACTACCCATGCCCTTATGATTTTATAAACCTCTATAAGATCACCCCTCAGTCTCCGACAATCCAAGGATAACAGCCCCAGCTTATCCAGCCTCTCCCTACAGCTTAAACCCTCCAATCCCAGCCACATCCTTGTAAATCTTTTTTTCTGCATTCAGCCTCCTTTGTACCACTTATGACTAAAGCCAGAAGTGTTTATTGGTGATCAAGCCTCACTATTCCACAGTTATAAAACCATAAAAAGAAAAATCAGTTTTTCCAATTACTGAGATGGCCAATTAAGCACCTTATGTATAATCAGGACTTAAATAAAAAGGAGTTATTAACCATTTCAAACTCAATTATAGATTTATTTCAAAAACAAGTTAATGATTTAATAATTGGCTAACATGCAATCTTGACGACAAAGAAGTATAAACATCCCCAAAACTAGATACAAATTCACTTCAGTAAAAACAGAAAGAGATTTTAACTTTAGGAATTGGCTTTCTGAAAAGAAAACTACTTTGGGCAATGGGTTATTCTTGAAAACAACAGATAGCGTGTGGAATATTCTGAAGTCTGTTGCTCTGGCTGTTGGGGTCAAGTCACCAATCACGTGAATCTCTCTGGAGTCACGGCAGATACATCTTGCTCAGGAAATACAATCTTGAGAAGTTCCTCCTATCACTCTTTCAGAAGAGCAAGTAGGTGTCACCTTGAACTGAACGTGAGGGCTCTTTTCAGAATTAGGAGAGAGCCTAGGAGAGATGGGGCAGCACGGTGGCTCAGTGGTTAGCACTGCTGCCTCACAGTGCCAGGGACCCAGGTTCAATTCCAGCCTCGGGTGACTGTCTGTGTGGCGTTTGCACATTCTCCCTGTGCCTGTGTGGGTTTCCTCCTACAGTCCAAAGATGTGCAGGTTAGGTGGATTGGCCATGCTAAATTGCCTGCAATGTCCAGGGTTGTGTAGATTAGGTGGGTTATGCGGGGTGTGTCTGGGTAGATGCTCTGAGGTTCGGTGTGGACTTGTTGGGCCAAAGGGCCTGTTTCCACACTGTAGGGGTTCTATCAATCAGCTGGGCAGATCTTCTTCAAATGAGAACTTGCCTTGTCCACTGCACCACTCACGATGAAAGGTCAAATAAAACAAACTCTCCAATACACTCAGCTCTAGAGCGGGGGTCTACAGCAAAGCCAAAATTATCACAGAGTATTCTTGTTAAAAAAATCTCCAACGTCCACAGTAACCTTTCAATGACCACTGAAAAAAACCAAAAGAACTGCTGATGCTGTAAATCAGGGACAAAAACAGAAGTTGCTGGAGAAGCTCAGCAGGTCTGGCAGCATCTGTGAAGAAAAAAAAAATTCAGAGTTACAGTTTCGGGTCTGGTGACCCTTCCTCAGAGGAAGTTCTGAGCAAGGGTCACCGGATACAAAATGTTAACGCTGATTTTTTCCTCACAGATGCCGCCAGGCCTGCTGAGCTTTTCCAGCAACTTCTGTTTTTGAACCTTTCAAATGACGTTTGTCAAAGTAAAACACCCCAGGTGCCTCCACAAAACTGGAAGTCAATCTATTTTTCCACAATCCTTCAAAACTAAGTCCAAACGAATCCTTGAACCAAACTCTCACTACCTCATGGATAGAATGAATAGCCAAGGTCCTTTTCCCAGGGTAGAGGCGTTCAAAACTAGGAGGGCGTATGTTTAACTGGAGAGTGGAAAGATTTATAAAAGGGACCTGAGGGGTAACTTTTCCCACACAGAGCTTGCAGTACATACGGAATGAGCTGCCAGAGGAAGTGGAGGAGGCGGGTACAATTACAACATTTAAAAGGCATCTGGACGGGTATAATGAAGGATTTGGAGGGATATGGGGCAAATGGGACTAGATGAATTTTGGAGATCAGGTCAGCATGGATGTGTTGGACCGAAGGATCTGTTTCCCTGTTGTACAACTCTATGACTGATTGCTCCAGTGAAGGATAGAAGCTTTTTACAATGTCAGAGATGCTATGCAAATGCAGTTCATTGTAACTTAGGAACTGTTGAAACAGGCCTTGAGGACAGGCAGAAGGACAAAACAGAAGATCAAAAATAAACAGTCAAACAGGTCACAGATGCAAATTGCACATTTTATTTCCTTCGAAAAAGACTGACAAATTCATCACATTTTATTTCCTTAGAAAAAAAACAAACTCGTCACAAATTCCTGAACTTCTGATTATTTTGAGCCCACGAACTCTTGCTTCAAACCACTTTGTTTTCACAGCTCATGGCGCATGTTCTGTTATACCTGCAGTTGTGTAAACAAATTGCATCTAGCAGGGTAGCTACTGAATTTTAAAATATATAAAAAAAAAGAGATTGTACACAAAGCATATAGAAGCTAATATTCCAGGAGGTGGAGGGGTTGTAGACCTGGAATGACAATTGGAGGACAACACAACTGAAGCCTGGGGAATGAGCAAACTACAGATGAGGGGCCTCCAAAAGTATTAATTTTTTTTTGACACAAGACGGATAAATTTTCATTTGCAGCTTTGCTAGGGCAGGCAATTCCCAACATTAACTAACACAAATCTCCATTTGAGTCTTCCAGCAGCTAGCATTCAGTTTAGAATCTTGGGAAGTCCTGGGGACTCCAAGAACAGTGACTCCTGGTGGGGCAGGGGGTAGAATGAGCATGGAATTGGTCTCTGGAAGCTGGTGGCTATTTTTTTTGGTGGGGAGGGCGACAAGGGGCAAGGCATGATGGGAGAAACGAAGGGTCCCCTGCCCACACTCAGAGCTACAACTGGGCAGTCAAAACACTTGTCACCAACAAGTTGAAACTGTTTGTTGCTTCTTCCGTGAAAGGCAAACCCCTGCCTATGTTGGGGGAGGAGGTGGGGAGGGAGTCTCTGCCTTGTCCCACTTAAAAAGGCAGATGAAGACGGTGATGATAATAGGGCACATTCACTTCCATCACATCAGTGCCCTGCCCACCACATGGGGGTTAAAATCCACCCTGCCAACACGTTTTAACATGCAGACACTTTTGGAAACACAAAGCACTGTGCCCACCACCTACTGCTTCCTTTCCCCCACCCCCCAACTAAATGCTCCCAAACCAATTCCCCCACCACAGCCCCTAACTGGCTGCACTGGAGGGGAACTGGGTTGAAGGCATTCATTTCCTCCACACAGCCCCAGGCATAATAGGCTGGTAAAGTCGAAAAAGCTCGAACCAATTCTCCCACCCGCCGGGCCCACCACCCCCACACCCCCCAACTCCACCCCCCTTAAAGCTCTTGGGTAAGCCTCATGTTGCAAGCCCCACTTCCCCAAACACAGCAGGATACTGGATCGCTCAGCTACACAGCAAAGCCCACTTGGTCTCTGAGCAAGTCTGCTCCAGTCCTCCCCCCAGCTCAAATGCACCCCCACCCCCCCACACCCCCGACTCTTCAGCAGCCTAAGACTGAACAGGAGGGACCCGGTCCTGGAACACACAGTATCTAACCCCATTCCACACACAATCCCGATTAGCAGCTAGCAGCTGCATTCTGATGTCACATAGTTTTTGCTGTGGGGAAGCGAGTTATAGGGGTTATTTATAGCTATTTTGCTGTAATGTAAAAATACATAACAAAACAGGAGCAATTCTGAATTTGGAATCCTTAAAACAAAATACTTTCACTGATGCCTCAGAGCTCTATATTTAACCGAGCTACAGCTAGCACGGAGGAACTTGATGTTGGCGTTCAGTTCCAGCTGGATAAAAGCTCTTTGCTTGCACAAATATTTTGACTTTTTGAAGTGTGTTCAAAAATTTTAAAAAAAGGAGCTCGAGGGGAGAAAATATTACTCCTTTAAAAATGAGCAACGTTGTATAGTCCGCCTCCTGGAGGCAAAGCGTTTTAAAATGCTTTGCATCTCGAGAGGGCAATCCAGGTTTTCTGTGCACCACAGTCTCCACTCCTGTTAGTGGATGTTCTGGGAGGAAATCATGAGCTACTGGCTCAATTAGAAGCATAGCAGGGCATAGGAAGAAAACATTTCTTCACTCAACCCACCTCACATAAGGCAGATTCTAGAATATCAAACTGAAACATTAATGTTAATCAGCAGGAGAGACTGCTATCTTCAGGTTTGTTTGAGGACAGGATTCCTAATCCATCAACACATACAAAAACAACTTGCTTTTTTGGTCCTCATGCACAATTTACAAGGAAAACAAATAGCAAAAATATTTTTTTTTCTTTAAAAACGTAATTAAAACCTCAATGTTACATCCACAAAATATATGTTACAAAGATTGCTTCACAAATCCAGGACACTTAACTCCAACACAATCCTTTCAGTACATTCCGTTGATTCGATCAGAGGCACTGCGCAAACTGAAAAAGTAAAAGGTAAAGGAGTTAGAACAAAGTGCTACGTTAAATGTAGTCGCAGAAATCTCAAAGGATCGCAGGGCTGCCGACTCAGGAGAGACACACAACTGGCAGGAGTTTAACCAGAGGGTCACCACGCCCCAGGCAAGGGCTAAGGTTGGGAGGTGGGTCCTTCATGGTGACCTCAGAGGGTTGTGAGAATCGAACCCACGCTGTTGGGGTCGCTCTGTGTCCCAAACCAGCCAGCTTGGGGTCAGGGTTGCAGAGATAACAAAGCGGATGACAATTTGTGAGGGCCAAGGTGGGAAGGAAGTAGGAAGTGAATGGTGATGGTTACAGTGGATTTGATGAACTTCAGCTCAGAGCTATAATGTTAATTTTGGAGCTACTTGGTTTAGCTCGAACTAGCAGAAGTAGAGAGGACACGCACTCTGACATGCCAATTATTAGAGTGATTGTGCAGGAGGAGGTGGGAAGAGTCTTGGAGTTAGAGGAATAAATTCTAGAGAGAAGGGTTACATAGACTTAGCTTATATTCCCTTGAATGCTCCAACTTCAGCCTCCAATCCCAATCCTATTTGCCTAGCACTGAGGCACTGATCATTCAAAACAGCTCCTTGTTCTTAGGTTTCTGAAACAATAAGCTCTACGCAGAACATGGCTCGAGCAAGACACTCCCATGTGGACTGTGGAACACTTTAGGAATATCCCCAGAGCATCCTGAAGTGGTCAAATGTTCCTGCCAACTCATTCAAGACCCTGGCCTGTGACCACCCAAAGTGCCGAAGTCTCACTGAGGAGGACACCAAGCATCAAAAGATGCTTTGCTGAGACCAGGCAAGAGGTGAAGTCGAAAGGAAGGAAACAAATCTCCCGGCAACCCATCGTCCCATCGTCCCATCCCTCCTGTGGCAGAGTCTGCAGATTGCACAACGGAATCAGCAGCCCATCGAAGTGGAGTGGGCAAAAACCGTCCTCAATCCCAAGGGGAAGATTATTCTCGAGTGTGAAAGATTGAAGTGTTTAAAAACGGTTAGGAACTTGATACAAGAAATTACTTCCTCCAGACCTCCGCAGACCCCAAAAGACAAAGGTTAAAAGATGCCGCAGGCAATTAAGGTGTCAAATTCTGACCTGGAGAGGTTTTCTTGAGAAAGACCATCAAGCTACATGGAGCAAAAAACATCAGAGGAACACAGCCAGGGGACCAATCAGCAATGGTTGACGAGAATAACAGAGATGGCTCCAAGAGCCGAATGGTCCATTGCCAAAGCCTACAGTTCTAAACCCAATGAGAAAACAGATACCTCTACAGTAGCAGACATTTCTTCTTTTTCCTCTCCTCAGGAGCCGGGCACAGCACAGCGCGAATGGCCTCATCGAACACAGTCTTCAGACCTCTCTGTGTGAGGGCTGAGCACTCGAGGTATCGCATCGAACCTTGATCAAAGTAGAAAGACAGCACATTTAAAAAAACAACATTCAGCAGACATCGACATTACAGATGCCATTAAGATTTGAGGGGGGTATTCGAGGTGAGAGAGTGTCTGGACAGAGTGGACGGGGAGAAATCGTTCCCAGCAGTGGGCAACTCGAGAACAAGGAGACACAAAGCTTTGGAGTCACAAAGAGACATTACTTCTTGTAGTTAGTAGTTAGGACCTGGAAATTTGCCCGAGCACACAGAAACAAAACTAGAATTTGCTGGAGAAACTCAGGCAGCATCTGCGGAGAGATGTTAAATGTGAACACAGTTAAATGTGTCAGGTCCAGTTCCCCTTTCAGTGACCCCGTTGTGAAGGGTCACTGGATTCAAAACATTAACTGTTTCTCTCTCCACACAAGCTGTCAGATCTGCTGAGTTTTTCCAGCCATTTCTGATTTTCAGCGTCTGCAGTTCTTCGTTGATTTTTGTTTGGGGTGGAGGCACGTTCCGTTGAGGCATTTAAGAGGAAAGTGGGTTATTATCTGAAAGGGGAAGACTAAAAAAAAAGGGCAAGAAATGGATTATTAGATCAGCTAAGACCTCGTTTAATGCCAGAACAGGCTACTTCTGCAGCTATGTTTTATGGCTGGAAGCCATGTATTAACACAAGAGTGGACTGGCCATACTAAATTGCCCTTGTGTTCAGGAACGCTCAGGCTGGGTGTGTTAAACTATGGTAAATGTGGGGTTACGGGGATAGGATGGGATGCTCTTCAAAGTGCAAGAGCGTGCGCAGGAGATGTCGAGACCCATAAAGCAGAAAACCTGTATGTTTCAAACAAAATGCTTAGTTTGAACAACCTGCAGAGCTCTGGCAAGTTTACTGGTGTAAGTGAATGCAGATTGACAAACACCATTCAACACCAAACCTTGGAAGTTTCGAAACAGGACAGATGCCCATTTCTGTGCAAAAATGGAATTAGGTGTAGCCCATGCTAACTAAAAAGTCGATGGTTCCAAGCTAAGGGCAACAATTAAGTAGACAAATCATTTAGCTCACTCAATCTCAGTCTGGTTTTACAACACCCTGTCCTAGCTCAAATTTCATCAAAATTTCCCTTCTCCCCTCTCCTGACTCTTATGCCCGGTTGTGTGGAGACTGTCTTTTTACAAACGGTTATGTTCGAGAGTCTGGTAGTTGATCGATGCTCACTATATTTGATTACTGAAGACAAGGAGTGGATTCAGGGGTTTGAAAAAACATAGGCTATGGAGAGAGCTGGAAGCCAGGCCTAGTAAAAGCACTGGGGATAAGACCCATAAGACAGACATCTGTCTTATCGTTGCAAGAACTGGAGATACAAAGCATAGAACTAAAAGACTTCGGAAGAATATTCGCCAGCAACAAACGTCAGTAATGTCAGGATCTGAGCATCCATTCCCTCTAGAGCAAATATTTACACCCCACCTTGGTACCAACTGCAGGTCATGCTCCACTCTGACCACCTGAGGGCAGTATAATCCTGGCAGACAGGAAGCGAATGGCCCTTTGGATATTGGAGGCGGAAGATATCAAGATTCGCTAGGAATAAGCGCACACACACACACAAAAAGAGGGACGGGCCATTTGGTGTTACTGTTATTCTGTTGGTTCTTGGAAATGAAAGAAAATAGAGAGCATGGGAGTAAGGCCTATTCATTCAGAAAGTGTAAGCATCATTGGCAAAGCCAACCGGAACTGATCTGAGATAGCAAGGTGCAGAGCTGGACGAACACAGCAGGCCAAGCAGCATCAGAGGAGCAGGAGGAGGAGGAGGGACGGAACACAACAAAAAGGATCAAAAAAATGTTAAGTTCAATTTATGATTATGGTCTTGCTGATGGACGGCCTCATGGCTGATATACTGAAGGAGAGCAGTCTGAAGGACAACATTAAGCAACAAGGAGATGAAGTGCGCACAGAGGGGCATACTGGTGGCATATAGAAGATAAAACCAAGTGCAGGCTATTGGATTAGATGAAGAGTGGCTCGCCTGGTGATAGAAGGAACCGTGTCCTGAACGGTCAGGGTGATCTCATGTTGAGCTGAAGCGATCAATTTCTAAAACTTCTTGCTGTGGATTGAAAAGGGCAGGAAATGGTGCATGTGTGGCTAAAATCCAGAAAAAGTCAAACCAGAAGCAGAGTGGGACAGGAACCTGGTTCAAAACGCACACAGGATTACAACACAACCCAAGCACTGAGTGAGGACATAGCGTGTAAACCTCATTCAGGAGCCAGCTCGCCATCCACAGTCTAACCTCCCCTTGCCCTCCTCCAAAAAAACAGTGACTATTCCTATCAAACACTGAAGTGTCACCAAGCAGGGAGGAGACACACACAGGGAGAAGGGTGAGGGCGAGAAAACGGGAGAGAGAGAGAGAGAGAGAGAGAGAGAGAGAGAGAGAGAGAGAGAG